CTGCCGTACGCATTTCTAGCTAAAAGCCTGGCTGTCAATAATTTCTGTAGTTGGCTTTGGAAGGCTTAAAAAAGCTATTTTAAATGGTAGTAATGTCAATGGTCTGGTTCCGTATGAATAGTCGCCAATGATGTGGAGCACATCCCTGTTTCTGAGCTCTACTGAAGCTTCCTTTAACTAGCAGTAGATTTTGCTCGTGCAGCATTTTTCTTGTTAACTCACTTTTTTCTTTGCATGCCTTTAATATTTGCTGAACATTTCTGTATTTGCAGCATGTTTGCAACCGTCTGCCACACAGAAAGCATCAGAATGCAAAGAGAACATAAAAACTGAAGTTGATCAGGGCGGGTAGTGTCCCAAAGCTTCTTGCTGGTTCTGTAGCTCCTCAGCTGACAGTGAGCGTCTCCGCAGCAACCAGCCCCGCCCTGCTCTGACATTGAATTTCATCCTACATTAAACCTTCGGTCATCTCTGACGGGAGAATCACAAACTTTTCTCCGCCAACTCGCTGTGCGTGGAGGCGGCCGACAGGCAGGCTGACACTTTAAATGATCGCGCACCTTTTCCACTTCTTCTTTTCTGTTTCACGTCTCATGACTGCAGCCTTGAATGAAAAATGAGGTTAACGCTGCAGAAATGTCACATTGCGTTTTTTCCTTTAGGCGTCACATGTCATCACAAGGACACATGGAAGAAAGGTCTTCTTACATGGAAAAAAAATAATAGGATTCCCTCAGCAGGCTGCTGAGGGATGAGAAACATGCAGCTGAAGGTTCAATCCCAAACCAGGTGTGACCCTGCAGGGCAGAATAAAGAAAGGGAACCCCTGGTCTGTGTCCACCCTTTCTCTATTCTCTGACCTGAGCTCCTGGGTCACCACAGTTATTATGTATGAGATCAGAACTCCTCCCTGGATATTATATGTTCCAACTCAGCATCCATGTTTGCTCCTCCCTGCATCCTTATGTTCTAGTCTAGATTTTCTCTTCGCCTTCATCACTATAGCTGCCTCTCCTTTTTCTGTACAGTCTGGGTCTGGCTCTGGGGCTTCGTCTCCATCACCATCATCAGCCTGCTCTCTCTTCTCGGGGTGATTCTGGTTCCCATCCTCAAACAGTCCTGCTTCAAGTTCCTGCTCACCTTCCTGGTGGCGCTGGCCGTGGGCACGCTCAGCGGAGACGCTCTACTTCACCTGCTGCCTCACGTGAGTCCCGTTCACCCCCAATCAGAATCCAATCCAAAAATAAGTTAAAAGATGGACTTAAAGTTATTAACAAGTGTCTCACTCATGCACCACCGCACAACAAAGTCACACATGTGCGAGAAACTGCCTCTCCGAGAGGAGAACATTGCTCTTCAGGCGCAGTTGGGATCTCACCGCGGTACGATTTTCTAACCAGCGGTCACGCTCAAGCATCTCTGTCCTCGGACTGATTTTCTCCCTACGTGAAGGAAAAGGTGCTCTGACAGGTTGGGCAGAGAAAAAATGTCTTCTCTAAGCCTCCTCCTCATTGGGCCTTGAAGACGTGATCAGGGAAGTAGTGTCAGGCCCAATCAGAAGGAGGCTTACAGAGGAAGTTTGTCTCTGCCCAACCTGTCAAAACACAGGGTTTCCGCGGGACACTAAAAATCATTAAAATAGATTTTTTTTAAATTAAGGCCTTAATTGGTATTAAAATTCATTAAATGTGATTATTGTGGCATTTAAAATGCTTTATTTAAAAACAAAATCCATTTATTAAAACAATTCCTCAGATATATCAGATATAACTGGTTCCGGTTGATCGTAAAGCCGTGAGTTTGGAAAAGAAGCTCGAGGCGGAGAAAAAAAATGCAAACTTCAACAAAATCGGCTGTAAAACAAGGAATTCGGGACATGGCTGCAGCCTGTGGAAGATAAAGATGACGAAGGATTTTGCAGTTTTTTATATGGGTTTGGGACACCAGTGTATGTATATATATATATATATATATATAATATATTAGGGATGGATCGGTTTATGAAAACCGTCCGAACCGTTGGTTCGACTGTCTCGGTTTGCGTGTGTTGCATTCAGTTCATGCGTTGCTCCTTTTTCTCATTGAGGAAGCGATTACACTCCAGAGCAGAAGGTGGCGGTACTGCGACCAAAGCCAACCACCAGTAGTAAACAAGAAGAAGAAGAAGCGAAGCCGCGTAGCCGGGTGTAGCAGAAAAAAATCAGTTATTGTGGAGAATTGTGTGGGTATGGCGAGTGGGAAAGAACAGGAGTTGGAAGACGCGCCAGCAGCACTTTATAGGTCTGCTGTATGG